GGAAACAGTGGACAGCTACAGGTATTTGGGAGTTCACTGAATGACAACGTGGACTGGAGGACCAGCCGTGATGCTGTGTACAAGAAGAGGATGACCAGACTCTATTTTCTGTGGAGGCTCAATGCGTGAAACAAGATACTGGAGATCTTCCACCAGTCTGTGGTAGTGAGTGTTTCACTGCTGTCTGCTGTGGGTGCAGCATCAGTGCCAGAGATGCCAGCAGATGAAAAAACTAATCAACAAGACTGGAATCATAACTGACCAGAATCTGGGGGTGTTTGAGTCAGCGAGAGACAGGAGGTCACTGAACAAACTGCTCTCCATCACACCACACCCACTCCATTCCACATTACTGAGGCAGCAGCTTACTCTCTCTCAGATTTATGTTTCCTGGCTGCCATTAAGAATTCTTCAGAGAACCAGTCCACCTGTTCTCTGTGAAGCTGTACAACAGGTTGTGACAGGTGAACACACCTTTCTGTATCAAACCTTCCTGGTTCTCTTTCTGGGATGTATAAAGTACATATTATTTATGATGACCATTTGCACTACAAATCCAAGCATTCATTGCTAGATTGATCACTGTTGTATATAAAATTCTGCCCTACCTCACACTAGACTATCCAATTTATACTAAAATTAATTTTTAGGATAAATTAAATATCTTTCTATCTATCTATGCAGAAGAGCATCTCTGAATGCAAAAGTAGATGGGCTACAGCAGCAGAAGACCACACTATGTGCCTCTCATGTCCGCTAAGAACAGGAAACTGAGACTACAATTCACACGGACCCGCCAAAATTGGACGGCAGAAGATTGGAAAAATCTTGATGAGCCTTGTTGTTGCTGACTACGTCCATCCCTTTGTGGCCACACTGTACCCACCTTCTAATTGCTGCTTCAAGTAGGATAAGATGTTAAAGTTCAAATCATACGCTTTAGAGTCACCAGATCTACGTTCAATAGCGCATCTTTGGGATGTGATGGAACAGGAGATCGCCAACATGGATGTGCAGGAAATCTCTGTCATCATGTCAACGACAGCTTCATTGACATGATGCTATCAAGTCAACATGGGCAAAAATGCCTTTAGTTTTCCACTGTTGAATCTATGCTGTGAAAATCTAAGGTAGTTCTAAAGGTTAACGGGGGTCCAACCTGGTACCAGCAAGTTTACGTGTCAGGCGAGTTATATTATCAGAATATTATCAAGTTAATTGAACAAACCAAATTAAAGCTTGTAATTTGAAAATGTCGTCACTAGATGGCAGCATTTATCAATTTCCAGGCCAGCACAGCTCGTTGACGCTTACATGATTAGAATGGCTTTTGTTCCTTAAGGGCACTGTCTTAAAGCATTCGTCATAACACATGACCTATGTATACACAGCACTAAAAAAAAGACATGCACAAAGACATGTTATTCTTAGCTTTCTCACATTGTGCCTCAGTGCAGAGGTTCATTTCAAAGACTAGTTCAGACATGTATTCTAACCCAGGATGTGATCAGCAGTCACATTTGACATCTGTGCATTCACGTTGAACAACTCATAAGAAAACTATCAAGTTTTTTTTCTTTTATTTTGTCACAATCACAGAGCGTCCAATCCACAGAACCACCTCAGAGACACGATAGGTCGAGAGTACTGGTTCAGTTTCTTCAGGCGGATATGTTTATCTTCCTTTATGTGCCTTTAACATTTATTTTCCAAGGTCTCCATGGAAGTACACTTCCACAGATTTAAACTTAGGCTAGTGTGTAGGGAAAACAGCAATTCACCTGACTTGCAGGTTTTCACAAGTCATCCATCTTCTAAAAAGTGAATCAAGCTGCTGTCAAACAAAGCTGTTTCTATCCCAGAAGATTTATGATCAGAATCATCTGTTTGCAAGAAAGATGGGTAGCTGGTAGCCCATCAAAATCAGAATCATTATTCCATCAAGCTAACACACCCATTTGTGTTCTAAAAGATCCAGATGCCAGAAAACATTGCGACTAGCGCCAAGTAAAGCAAAAGTGTCTTCCCACATGCTTGCTGTTCAGAGAAGCTCCTCACTGCAGCTGTACCCTCAACAAGCGACAAGATGCATGTGGTATTAATTAATGCTCTTATTGTGCCATTTCACTTATGCTAAGAATGTGTTTATGGAGCAGATGAGTGTCGAGCAAGGTCACATTCAGGTGTTCTCAGGGTGTAATTATTCTTTCAATATTCAAGACGGCGTTGTTGGTTCAGGGCCTTTCATGCCAAACCATGACATTTAAAGCTCAATTATCTTCATTTAAATTTGCACCTTGGGTATTGCATGTCACGAAGATGCGATATTCAATGTCTCTAAACCAAATAGCCGGGCCACACGTTATAATCAGCAATAAAATGATATGCATTTAAAAGCCCCCGAGGACCTTTTCAGAGTGTAAAAAGTATTGAAAGGTTGCCGGCACATTTTGTAGGATAGCTGTGGCTCTGGAAGTGATTAGACCTCAAAGGTTGGGTGAATATATTGCAGAGAGACAGAAGCGGGTGGGAGTAGTATCTTGTGTGTGTTTTAAGTGTGACACGATGAGAGAATGTGTGTGTGTGTGCGCGTTTGTTTCGAGTGAGCAAGAGAAGGAGACTGGGGCGGTTCTCTTATGCAAGCAGTTCTCAGTATGAATGTAGATTGGAAGATGTGTGGCTCCTGTGGTTGGCTGTCCCCTGTGTCACTGCCTTTAAAAAACACTTGCCAAGAGAAATGTCTTCTTTACAGGCTTTGGCTGCCAGATGCTGGGGATAATGGATAGGACTGCAGAGGGAAAGATGGAGAGGTGCGCTCAGCCAGCCACACAAACACCAAAAGTGCACACATACACGTAACACAAACACGTGCACGCTAGCAGACTTTGTGGGCAGCGGTCCCCTGTAGCGCTGAAGTAAGCTGTGAATAATTCATCTTCAAGTCACTGTACGACTGCCACACATGCATTCTGTTACACACAGGGGAAGTGTTAGGCCTAGTAAGGCATGTCATACTAAGTAGTAAGTGAATGAGCATGCAGATTGGGCACGCTTTAAGAACCCAGAGGTGCCACGTTTTGTTGACGTGGGTAAAACACAATGGCAAGGAATAGCTGTGTGTGTCTATGTCTCTGTATGAAGCTGTGAATGAACACATGGGGCGCCAATGTGTGAATGTCAACGTGTGTCTGTGAGCGGGATAGCCGGTGACACAGGAATGTGTCATAGTTCCTGCAAGCCACCCAGCTCCTAACTGCAGCAAATAAACATTCCTCTGCTGCTGTGTCAGTGCTGGAGCGCTCGCCCACTGTCGCTGTAAAACACAGCTCGGAATTAAAACCAAAAGCAGGGCACTTCTTCTTTTTGTCCCCACGAGTATTACTAGAACAGAGATAATTAGCACATGCCGTCAAAAATGTCTCAGTGTTGTTTATTGATTCAAATGAGGCCATGCTGGGCCTCAGACAATGGCCTGCAGACAATAAAACAAGCTGACTCATCTGGTTAAGTGAAGAGCAGTAAATTACTCCATCCGCGCTGTGGTCACTCAGATTTCCTTGATCTCGCACTTAGGCAAGTAAAAGAAATCCAGCAGCGGACAGTTTCGCGAAGATACGTTCGGATGAGGAGAAGTGTTAACGTTCAGCGTAGCCAGACACGTCTCGGTGAAGTTTATCACTGGCTTGTCTGTTTGATTTAACCGAATGTGTGCTTCATCCATGCTGACAGGTGAAATTATGCACAGGCTCATGTTGTGTCACATGGATTCCACCACAGTTTGTGCTCATGTTTCATGTGGATCTCAGAGCTGAAATGTTGCTGCGCTGTACCCGTACATTGTCAGATGTCTGTAAACATATTCTACTGTTGGTTGTCCTTTCCCAAAGTCTTTCCCTATCATTACGGCTCTGTTTACGGGAGCTCTTACAGTGTTTGCTAGCATATTGTCTCCCCTGGAGTACGGCGCGGTTTAAAGTCGCGCTCTGACGCACAGTTTTCCATCTGAAACGCTTAATTTCAGTGGGACACGGTCTGACATGGCACTTTATCTGTTTGTTGTCACATATCTGGCTTTGCCAGGTTAACCATTCACAGATGTGTAACGAGAGAGTTTTACTTTTTCTTGTTCCATAATGGTTCTCACAGAATCATTGCCTGTGCATTTCAAATGGTACCTAAAGCTGGACGTCAGTGGTTTAGATGAACTTAGGGACACTTTGGTGTTTAGTTAGAGGTGATGTTCCATGGTGGTGAGGTTTTCATCTCAGGAGTTTTGAGGTTTAGCAAAGAATTTAATATCAACAAAAAATGGGCCAGCAGAGAAAAAGCCATCAAGCCAAGACAATCCAGAGGCCCTGCAGTGTGCGTATGCGTGTGAGCGTGTTGATAGCTCAAAATATATTATCACCCCAAGCACATTCATTCATGTGTGTTCACATGCAGGAGGCCGCAATTGAAAACATTTTTATACACGTGTGAAGAGTGCTGGCCTATTAAACACACACAGACCCCAATACACTTTTATATACACACACACATATATGTGTGTGTGTGTATATAAATATATATATATACATGCTGCACAGTTATATCCCTCCCACCTTAACTGCAGGGCTAGTTCTCCAGCTCACTCCATAGGGGCACTGAGCCTGACCACAGACATCATACTGATTGCTCACCATGGTCGAGTGGTCTGTCCACATTCCCACCCTGATTCACTTTGTGCACAAAACCCAACAACGGAAAACAGTGGTTTGAGAGTGTCTGAAAGTTTGCGGACAGCAGTGAGCGTTCGCTGTGTCTCTCCTAAATCAGTCCTCTTCTCATGCCTTCCACTGGCCCACCGCACACCCCAGAAACATGGGAACAAGCGAACGCAGGCTCAAAGCGATGTTTTGGAACTTTTTGGAACTGAAGCGAGAGGAGACGCACAAACAGGACGCTCGAGCTTGTATATCTGCTGGGGTGAATCTAACCTTCCCTCCTCTCCTGTGTGACAGGTTGTGGAAGGCCAGAAGATGATGAAGTGATGGAGATGTTAGGAGGCCACGGCCATTGTGATGCTGGGTGGCTGTTACTCCGGAGCTGCCATCTGGCGAAAAGGTCAGTTGCTAGGGGATGATTCTTCTCCTGGACCGTGTCTGCCTCCCAGCTGCCATCCACACACCCACACACGCGCACACACTGGCTCGACTGTGTGCACAAACTTAACACATGCGCACACGCATGCTCTTTTTTTTAGCACTTCCTAGAATCCTGAATTGAATCTGAGTAAATTTGAGCCACTACACTGACCGCTATTAATCCACTTGGTAGTTTTCTGCAAGTCTGAGTTCTTTATTTAATATCCGAGTGACGAAGCTGTAATTGCACATCTTGTTACATAATACCCCAGTGGTCAGCTAATGGCACCAAACTCAATTCTTCTGATTATTACACAAGCTTGATATGGGTGTCCCTATAATAACAATGCCCCAAATTAATTTCAAATTGACCCATAATTGAATGCTAGGATTACAATGAGACATGGAGCGAGCACAGAAATCAAATCACTACTGCGTGCCAGACTCATGCCACACCGCACTGTCAATCACAAGCACTGTAAACAGCCTTTCATTCAGTGCCGTGGCCCACCCCAATTATAAATTATTTATCATGCTGCCTTCGAATTAACAGCCAACTCCACCCAACAGGCCAAACATTTTTCCTAGCTGTAGCAGGAATTTTAATATGAAGCTGCTGTGCCTTCAGTATGCCATGTTTCTTGCATGTGACCTGCTTGCTGGATTTGTGCACGTGTTCTCGTGGCTGTCAGGTCAGTTGCAGGCAGCGTGGCTTTTTAATTCTCGTTGTCGAGTTACATAATTAGCAAAATCGCCCCATTAACCTTCACCCTTTAGGCTGCTGTGGCCTGTTATGATACTACCCAGAGATATTTTTTTTTCTTCATAAAAATAGAAAGCGAATTTACAGCGACGTGAAAAGTAACCATGAGCAAGCCACGGGAACAAAGTGTAAAGGAACTAACGTTTCGATGCACCACGTATCTCACTTATGAGCAGGCTGCGACTGGATGTCAGCGCGGTATTATTATCTCCAGATATTGGCAAAACAGTAGCTGGCAGGAACCAAAACCAAAATGGGACTCAAGCGTACAATTTTGTACCATCTCTATTTCTTTTTTTTTCTTTTTTAATCCTCCCTGTCACACATTCCTGTCCTCCTTCCCTCCTCCAAGTCTGCGCTTCTCCACTGGCCTTCCATAGAGCCAGTGACTTTTGTGTAGTGGAGCTGTTGTTTTTGTTTGTGCCGCTCTCACCATACCATACACCATAGCTGCCTGCTTGCCGCCTGACAGCTCCGTGTGTCAAAGGTGGCTACAGCAGAACAGACTGTGGGAACAGCCGGTTAGCCTTCCTTGGTCCCCTGCTCCCCAACCAGAGGGGCAGCCATCAATCCAGCGCTCCCCCTACCCCTGCACACACACTGAAGCACAAACACACAAATACCCAACTAAACTCATACTCACACAAAAACCCTACAACGCTCACACCCTCTCCCAATAATCCTCGGAAGCAATTTCATCTCGACTCGGGTGGCAGCCCATTGTCGCCAGCCCCTTCAATCTTTCCTTATTAACTCTCGCTTTGTCCCACATCCGAGCTTCTGGACTCATCTCTCCTACATTCCGATCAGTGCTGCTCCCAGCACTCCCAGGCAACCTCCATTCGCTAATCCCATTGCCTACCCACCGCCCCCCCCTCCCAGCAGCCCCACCCCAAGGAACTCTTACTGTTTTTTTTCCAACCTGCCGATCACCTACTTGCAGAGTAAGGTAGTGGCATTAACTCCATGGGTTTTCTGAAGGCAGAGTGTGAAGGCGGGGTGGGTGAAAGAGGAGGCGGCCACAAAGTGACTCCAGGCCAGACAATTAGAACAATGAGCTGGGCCTGTAGGGGGCTAACTCGCTGCGTCACGCCTGGACGGTGGGGTATTTTGTCAGTTTAATGAATTGTCCGTCAGGCTAGAGCCACATCGCAGGCTGCGCAGGGAGAGGCCAGCAGGGACCCAGACACTAAGTCGGTATTTATTACACTGCCTTTGTCACTAATTGAGCTAATTATCACTGACTCCTTAGCACTCCCACAGGCAGCGCCCCCTCCACTTCACTCTCCACCAACTCTCCCACCTCACTCTCATGCCTGGGATTTGAACTCTGAAAAAAAAAAAAAATCAACCACTTTTACTTTCTATTGTTTCTGTCTGCCCATGATTGCTGATTATTTCTCTTTCCAGCCAGATTTGCCTCGTTTTGCGTGTGTTTTCACTCCGTCAGCTCCTGACTTTTCTCTCAGTTTGTCAGTTATTACACAGTAAGCCATATCATGTTCTGGTGTGTTAACCCCTGTTTTCCAGTGATAGAAGACAGAGCTTTACTTATGTATAGGTCAACAACATTTTTTCTAATCACTTTAGTTTTTTGTTGTTTTTTTGTATTTATAGACATTTCCTCACTTTACTTCTGAATTTGCAGTATTTTACTTCAGTTCACTCTGATCTGTTCTTCCAGATAAGTAATATTGTAGCCATTCTCTTCTTATTTTTTATAATGTTTTCTCTAATTTTATGCCACAAGCCCACGAACCCCTGTTAAATCTACACTGTAATACGATGCTAATTCAGAAGCACTCTCGTCCCTGCATCTTACTGCTTTTCCTCCACTCTGCCCTTTCTGGATGACCCTGATTGCTCCTTCTCTGTGGTGAACTGAGAAGTGTGACGCTTTCCAAACTCCTGTGGTTAGCTACATTGCCAGGTGTTGAAGTTTTTCATATTTCTTTCAGGCCTTAAGCAAATGAAGCAACTCATATACTGTATAAAATAAGGTATGTGGGCAGATAAACAGTCTGTCTCTGTGGTTGGTCGCACAGATGCAGGGATGTTTTGTGGAGCTGGAGAAAGAGGCTGCTTTGGTGGTGGTAATAGGATTAAGCAAAGGACACCCAGGGGCAGGCTTATATGTTGGCTTGGTCCATAGTCAAAACACTCTCGAATACAGCAAACACAACACACATAATGGCTGTAATGTTGACACATTCACAAGGGCAGCTTAATTGAAAATATAGACTTTATTGTTCTATCGTACAGTACAAAACCAACTGGAACCTAAGTCTTTTGATTAAAATCTAAAAAAAAAGTATTCTCTTACTCTCTAGAACAGTATAAAAATCCTCAGAAATAAATATTTTATATATTTACACTAGTAAAACAAAGGGAAATATTCAGTGCATGACCAAACATGAGTGTTTTTTTTACAGAAAATAAGCAAAGAAGTGATAACAGTCTTTTTCTATCGAGAGGTTTTTTTTTTAATCAGCTACGTTACACCTACATAGAAAGAGCCAAACGATGAAAACATCCTCTGACCTGACTCTACTGATAGCATATTCTCCAGCCACTGACAGGCACATAAATCATTTAGAAAACATACAAGTGACATCTTTATAAATATAATCAGATATTTTAATATTTACAGATTTTGGTCCTCTTAGCTGATACACAGTTTGTTTCTTTTTCAGTCTGTATTCTTTAAAATATTTTCATTCAACCTACCTTGAAAAAAAACAACCCAACAACGCACCATTTGCCTACTTTAACCTGCAATATTTTAATCCTTCCTGCATGCATTTGTGGGAAATTTGTATATTGGTCACATTTCTATTCATTGTTTTATTAGTGTTTTATGATATTTTCATTATTGATCCCTCAGATTTGCTTAAATCACGTTGTGATATTCAGTGTATTGATAATACATTCAAATTACATTGCCTCAGTAAGATTCACTCACTTGGTTTCTGTGCTCCCTGCTCCTAGTCCTGTACAATAAGGACCATCCTGTTGCAAGCTGGAGTGGTACATGTGGCTGAGGTGAATTCAGATCTGGAGAAATCTAAACAAAATGGGCAAATGTGGCAGGGAAACTAGAAGTGGTTGGGTTGCATACAATTCCTAAGTACACAAGCATGGAACAGATATCCCATCCAGGGAGATAAACTTCAGCCAGTTTCATGGGAGGGACGCCAAACTTCAGCAAGAGAAAACAAAACACAGATTTCTTTTTTTTCTTTTTTTTAAATAAGCTTCCTCTTGTTAGAGGTCCTCGCCAGTTTATGAGAGCATATGTTTGTGGCTCTGTGGCCACAGAAACATCTGTGAAACATTGTGTCCAGTTTCTGCCCTTTGTTGGGGAGAAACAAGGCCCTAGTGGGACCTGGTTACAACGATCAATTCTCCACCACATCCTTTTGTCCATTTACTCCTATTTATCTAGCATGTAAACACTTGGGGGACAATTCCCATTCTACAAGAATCGTTGTAGTGTTAATTTACTTAAGGTTAAGTATTAAAGAGTAAGACATACACTCCTTCTATACCCTGTTCACATACTTGTGCTTTCCCTTTCTCCTAAGTTTAAAAACACTGATTGAATTTTTGTGCCAGAATTTCCCTGTAATAGTTTACCCGCCTTGAACCTTTTCCAGCTTCAGCCTAACATCTTAAAGCACATGAGTGCCTAGGTGCCCATGTTTGATCATAGACACTGATGTAACGTCCTTGTACTGGTACAGTTCAGACAACTGACATGACAGCACCAGTGGAATGTGCAGTGGCAGCGTTCAGTCACGCTCTCAGTCCGGGACTTAAACCCACGTCCGCAGCATAGCAGCTCACAGCCATCCAGGCCCGGAGAAGAGCTGTTGCACGTTCTCCCCGATGTTCCCAGAGTGCCAGTTTTGCCATTGTAGGAGCAGAAGTTGGGTGATTTCTCATAATAGACAAGATCCATAGACGAAGGGGGTTTGTGAGCTGGGTTTTCAGGCTCTAGATGGCGTGGATCGGCTCGGTGAGAGGCACGGTTGCTGCCCTTGTTGGCATAAACAACTCTGGATGCGCCATCAAACCGGTCCTTAAGAAAGTCTCCCACTGTGCGGAAGCTGGGCAGGCGCATCCAACAGGTGCGCACTGTGCAGGAGCCAGACATGCCATGGCACTTGCATTCCTGACGCATCTCTGATGACACAGTCTGAGAAAGGAAGACTAAAGATTACTCATGATATCTCAGTCATTAATACATTCATTTCAAGTAGAACTCGGACAAACAGTCTTGGTAGACGAGTAAAGCAAGTCTTACCATCCTGCCGGCTTCGTTATTGTGCAGGTTCGTGAGGTAGCGCAGATCTCTGCCCCTCTCACTGGAGTCCACAAACTCACGGCTGAACATCCGGCCAAAATCCACATTGTCACTGCAGCCCCCCCAGTGCCAGTCTGGTCCTCCAGGACCTCGGCGGCGATAATCGCATGTGCACGTCTCAATGGCCCCCTCTGAGCAGGAACGAGCCACAGCGTGGGTCACTCCTGCGCTGGTAATGGCAAATACAAATGCGGTCTCTCGGCAACCTGAAGAAACAACACAAAAACTTCCCATCAGAACCATATCCAGCGTTTTGGACTTTATATTTGCCTTTTTTTTTCTTTTTTGCCCAAAACTGGAAATCATTTACAGACAAAGCCTTTCAAATGCGTACAAGCGATTCTGTTACATCCTGTCCAAAATTGTCCAAATATTTCCTGGTGAGAAAGACAAGAGGGGCTCACCACGATTGACAATTTTGCCAAAAACTGCTGGACTGTGGGTGGTCGGGCAGTTCCAGCGGCGGTTGCGGAACTGCCACTTGCACTCCTTTATGGCAGTGTGCAGTCCAGCGGCGATGGCATGCAAGATGCCAGGATTCTGCCGAATCAGCCGGCGCTGGCGACGGCTCAGAAGGGCCAGGCTTGGGTCCAGGACCAACTGCACGTTCTTGGAATTGGTGAGGAGGTTGGACGAGGAAGCCACATTGACAATACCCCTGGCGCAACATAAGGACAAGGGAATTCAGAGTCAAGGAGCTGGCAGTTCATGCATGAAGCTCTATAGGTGACCCTCTAAACTCATTAACTGATGGCTCTTGGCATCCAATGAGTGTTGCTCCTTTGAAATTACAGCTTTCATTATGTGCTAAAGTAATAAACAGAGTCTCACATTCAGTTCCAAGATCATGAGAAGACACTTTGTCTCTGACTAACAGTGTATATTTCACTCTTGGCAGATAACATGAAGCTATTTTTATGTCTTCATAAAAACTTGGACTGGCTGCGATTACTTGTCAGTTTCACAATTAGAATATGTAAGCACATTTGTCTGCTAAATACTCAGGATCCATTATGTTATAATAATAATAATAATAATAATAATAATAATAATAATAATAATAATAATAATAATAATAATAAAGGATTACAATAATTGACAGATTTCTTATCTGTGTAGTATCAAATTAATGTTATTAGCTTGGCAGTTAAGATTCCCTACATATATGTTAAATCACATTAAAGATAAGCATACAAGGTTCCTCCAAATGTGATTTAAGGTGCAACTTCAGCTAAAAATATGTCCATTCTGTCAAAATGTCATTAAGACGTAGGCCTTTAAACACCCCTCTGTGCCAAATATTTAAAAAGCTATAAAAATGCTGTCATCCACAGCATATAGAAACAAATAACTGTAATTATTTATTACTATAGCATAGAGAGACAGAGAGGGAGATATGTTGCTTTTTCTTTCTTTCTTTATTTTAAGTGTCGTGTCCATATTTGTGCCCAAACGTGGCACCTGTGCGTCTTCAGCTTTATCCAAATCTTGGATCACTGAACGGGGTTTAAATGCACCCATTTCGCTGGTTTTAGAACACTTTTGGCGTTTCAGCACACAGGCTGTGTAATTTTCCACTTTATTTGGTATTTTCTGTGGTTTATGTGTCAACATTTTTCATTCATGTGTCGTGTATTGGCGGCGTTTTGCTGTTCAGCATTATCATCCGGAAAAGCGGGCGAGCCTGGGCCTGTTAGAGGTTTGACCCAGACAGTGGTGCGGTGAGAGGCCTGGGAACTTAAATAATAATCTCATCTTCTGAATATTTTCTTAATTCCCAAAGTCACGTGTGTGTGTGTGTGTGTGTGTGTGTGTGTGTGTGTGTGTGTGTGTGTGTGTGTGTGTGTGTGTGTGTGTGCTTTCTAGGCGTCTTTTGGATGCCAGCTGATCTTTCAATGCTTGAAAGCGCACTGCCACTGTGCGAAAACCTTGTCCATCTAATAAAACCGCAAAAACCGTTTGTTGAATCGTTACCTCAACAAACCCCTGACCCACAGTTTTTTGTTTAAATTAAGAAAATGTGCGAAGCTATTGATCCGGTTTTATTTTGGTTTTAAAAATCTAAATTCTGTACCGTTGCCGCAAAGTTTATGATCGCTTAACTATATCCAGTATTAGATCAACGTGTCCCCGGAAAACAAGAAACAAAAAACAAATAAAAAGAACCCTTCTAAATCCATATTCAATTTATTCCACACTGGACTGAAAAATCTTGTCTCGTGTTCAAACCGCAGTGTCCAAAAAAGGAGCCAGAGAGAAAGCGAGAGAGAGGGAATTAAATCAACCGCAAATAAAAATGCTGTAATTATTATGTAATTATTTTATTGTTAAACTGTGTGCTGTGGTTAATTTCACTGGAGGCACAATAAATTAAAGACTGGAAAAAAACACCCTAAATGTTTTTTGGGGCTGTTTCGCTCACGTAGAGCCACCTCGAAGCATTAAGCATCAATCCTATATGGTTGCCCTTTTTTTCTTTTTCTTTTTTTCAAACAGAAGCTGCGAGCGGCTCCAAAACTAACACATTATTTCGATCAAGCTGCACGAAATGTGGCAACTCAATAAAACGCCCTGTTTTCCAGAGGGCTCCTATAAGCTGGCACTTAACTTTGCGGATGAGGTTTTCCAGTGGCATAACGCGATTAGTGCATCATCAGTATCTGCTCAACTCACCACCACCGGCCGCTGTTGTTGACTGCCCCTGTGCCCGAGAGCGAAGACACCAAGAGGATGCAAGCGGCTTTCACCCCTAACAGCAGCGCCAGACTCCTCATCGTGGCTTCAGTTCAAAAATGAGGAGGAGAATGTCATTATTTGGTGAAATAT